AGAAAATTCAGCTCTCAGCTGCATTCATAGGAGACAAAGGTAGCATTTACTCTTCTTTGAATGACAAGCATTAGAATCCTCACACCAAAGAAAACACAAGGTCTCAAATTTTAACAGAACACATGCTTAAATCCCAGGAAATAGTATTCATTTGCAAAAACTATACAAATTTATGCATTGCTTCTGACTTTAGTTTAACTAGTTACTTGTTAATTTGAACAATTTTACTTCTTTCTTTTATACATCTCGTCTAAATTTCATTTTGTATTGTTATCCGATCATTACAAGATCCTAATATTATCCATATAACAGTATCCTAATAAAAGATCCTAATATTATCCATCTTGCTGCTACACATTTAAATTGCATGACTGGAAACATTTTTAAAGTGATCTGCTTTATTTTGTATTTGTGATCAGATCACGCATCTTCTCCTTTCTTAACAGGAAGTGACCAAAACCTTTGGAGTGAGTATTTTTCAAGAATAACAGTCATACTAATTCTTCTGTCACTCAACATTCTGAGCTCACTTAATTCTCATAAAGTCTTCACAAATGATGCAAGTGTTTTGTTTCTGCTTTAGACTATTACAAACACTTTCCCTCCCAATTTTGTGGTGTACCTACTTGTTAAAAACAATCAGAGCCTCTTTCTGAAAAGTGATATAAGGAGACATAACAATACGACCAATATAGAACTGAAAACCCATGTAGCCTGAATATTTATGATTAACACAAAATCCTGAGAACACAAGCTAATGGAAATTCAGTAGAACTTACAACACAGATAAAGGCATACAGCTCCTGTGCTCAGAAAGTACTTTTGACCTTTCAAAACCAAAAATGGACACCCTTCTCAAAATCTAAATGCCACATAACCAGAGAAGTGCAGCAATACATTTTTCAAAACCCTTTTTGTGTCTTTGAAACATTTTCCCAGATGCCCTTGGATGTCAACTCTCATCAGCTGACCAGGAGCGTCTGGAAACATTATCCCAATAAATCCCAAAGGACAAGGCTAAAAGATGATGCTTGTACTGTGAAGGACCTTATGTTATATATAAATACCTGTAGTCAGAATGCTATTCTTGTCCATAACCTGCATTACGTGTTCTTCTGAGTACATAAAAACTTAGGGAAACCTGGAGGATGGAAATTTTCTTCTTCTCTATTTTCCGGCCTTTTCTTTCAGCCTTTCAGTCAATTACTCCCACTTCCAATATCACTCTGCTCTTTTGTCTATATTTCTGAATTACTTTGACTTTTCTCTTCATTGTTATTGGCATTTGCATATTTCTACTGGCTGAACAAGCCAACTGTGATATTTAGCTCTCTGTTTCATACTTCTGTTCACTCCTTTGTGTGATCAGGTTATTGAATAAATCAAAATGAACACTCCAGTGTTGCTTCCTCTGACTCAGTCTCTGACTACTTGTTTTCTTTGCTGTTATCTGTTGCCTATGTTCTTACTGCTCACTCCATTGATAACTAGTTTTATTATGTATGTACTACAGCATTCCCTTTTACACTGTTATAGTATCTCTAATCTCTCTTTAATGAAACATAGTGGTTTTTTTTGTTTTTTTTTTTTTTTTAAATAAAGGAAAGGCCATACAGAATCACAGAATGGCCAAGGTTGGAAGGGACCTGTGGAGATCATCTGGTCCAACCCCCCCTGCTCAAGCAGGGAAAAAAAAAAATTTCTTAAAGCCACAAATTATGCAGTCAAGTTTCCTGCATTCGGGGAAATTGCAAGGGTCAGCACACCCAGAGTGCAAGGGATGAGCCTCGCCCTGGGAAAACCACCTACCTAATCAAGGTGTCTTCCCTGCCAGGTAACAGGTGGGGAATATAGCTAAACAAACGTTGCTGTAGCTTTATTATTTTTGGTCACAGCTTTTGTTTTGCTGCTCCCGATGGCCCCAGTTTGTCCAAATTACAGGTCTTTGAGAAGTTACAGCTTCCACATGATTAATATTAGACACTAAGTGGACTTCTTAATAGCCCTGCTGAGCCTATTCTTACTGAGCACACCCTGACTGATCTTAAGTTTACAACATGCATCTGGCTCCGTGTATTGTCTGCTCAGACACGGAGCACCTGCACAAGCCCCACAGAGCAGGTGAATGTCCTTCAAGCCAGGCTGCTACAGCTCAACAATCCCTAATGGCTTTTCCCAACTGCACTAGGCTGAACCTTGAATAGCAGCGGTGGGGCTAGCTGAAACAGCGGCATGGGAACGCAAAAGGGCACTCAGGATAGATTCATTTGTTGAAGTGTAGCTCTCGGGTGTTCTGCTCTTGCACGTTCAGTACTTCCTCCTGTGCCTCACTTACAGCACAGTATGCCAACTCTACTCATAGGCTTTGCTTTTCCTCACAACAGTATCTGCATACTTTAAAAATAATCAGTGAAGTTAGTGTCACAATACTGCTGCTATATCCCAACCTTCTCCTAATTGTACCGATAGTGACCTGTGGGACGCAGCCAGCAAGGTAAAGAATCCTATTTTGTATGTCCAGTTTTCCACACTCGTAGTCTGAGTTGCAGTGTGTTTATTGCTATACTCTGTGCTCTTTTGTCATGTCAAACAAACTGTGTTTACGGGCTATTTCTGCTGATTTCAGTTGTAACTGGAGGTACTCAGCCTTCCGGCAAGCTGAACTTCACTTCAGGTTCTCATGTCAGATTCTCAAAAACATGACCACCCTCCAGCAAGCTTAGGCCTGAAACTTGCTCACTTCATTTTAGAAGCAGATGGGGATAGATAAGGACAATTCCAGATGGAAACATTCAGCTTCCTTAACCTTGAGGCTAGCCTTTCTCATCCCACAGCACCCTGTGTCACAAGCTCAGCAACTTCCGCTTCTGCAAGAACTAGGCACAGGGCTATCCAGACGACTCCCTCCTTAACCATGCAGTCCTGATTCACTTTCACACAGTCCCCTTATTATACTGCAATGAGTGACAAGAGTCCCAGCAACGTGCATGAACAATCCTACTCACAGGACAGTCTAGTTAGGCAAGCAACTAAAATTTCTGACCCTTTCACACTCTTTGATAATATTCTTTCAGTGCAAGATTTTTTCCCATCTGATCAACCACACTACTAACACCTGCAGTAATTAACTTAATACTCGAGTTTGTCTTCTCAAATTACCTTCTTTCTTCCCTTGCTCAAGCGGAAACAGAGGCATTATCTCAAGATCTGAGACAAAAATATCAGATTTAATTGTAGATTTTATGGGTCTAAACCCTTTTACTTCCGTGTGTACCTGCATATTTAGCTCTCTGAGATAACTCAGAGTTAATGTTCTGTCTGTTATGCAACTTCTCCCCAAGAAATTGGAACTTCTCATCCTTCACCCTAGTGCCAACATGCTCACTTTCAAAGCTGACACAAAACTGCCCCTCATGATCTCAAAAAACTGTCTTTTAATCACCTCTGTCTTACATCACCTTCTACTCTTTCATTTTGGTTACTGATTTTTCCCAGCTTTTCCTGAATTTCAGTCTTGTCCTTCATTCGTCCAAACTGGAGTAGTGGAAAAATTGAAAATAAATAAAATAAATAAATAAATATATATATATATATATTTTGTTCCTATTAAATTTCTACTCCTAACTCTTGAAAAGCCACTTCCTCTCTTCGAATCATAGCACAAGAACTTTACATTCAATTTAAGACTACCTACAAGTCTCTCGATGAAGAACGAAAAACAAAGTGTTCTTTTAACTTCTTGCATATAATTTAGACTAAAGACCATAAACAGATAATTTGGGTAAGTCTGATTTTGTACATTCTAACTGCTTACAAGGCACAGAAATGAATTATCTTTTAATGGCCAGGTAAGAAACATTTACAAGTTAAATACACAACACACACGCAAAGCAGCTTTTTCTGTCAGATTATGTTACACTGTGCTATATTAATTGTAAGAAGCATGAAACATAACGGTAACTGAAGACCTAAACTACATATGTTGTTAAAACTGGACAAAAGCAGTACGCAAACAGAGCTCCTCTCCTTCACTTACTGATGTTTGCACCATCATAGCTCGCTGGTCTCGCATTTTTCGTACAATATCCAGTGGATAAACAGGTTGGTTTCTTTCAATTAAGCACATGGCTGTTTCCATAGTGACCAAGACACCAGTGCGGCCGATCCCAGCACTGTGAAATGCAACAGGAAAATAGTCTTTAAAGTTAGGTTTTTGCAAGGTACCAGATTCATATCACAGTCTTAATATTATGAAGTTAAACAGCCTTAGAAATAAGAGGGAGAACTTTAAAAGATTAGAATAGAGAACAAAGACTACTTTTAAAGCAACTTCAGTAATGTTTCCTGCCAATGATTACAAAAAAAAAAATTTATGTAAATAACAAAGACCACTTAAAGTAAATGATGTTTTAAGTTACAACTGCCTACAAATCTAAACATACTGCTTTTATGTTTTCAATTAAAAAAGGTAAGAGCTAATTGACTGCTTTTTGACAGCTACCTGAACAGCAGAAAAACTTTGCAATACCACATACGATGAGATTACAGAGGTATTAGAGTATGAAAATACAGAGAAACATTACAAATGATCACTTCTGCGCTAATTATGTAACTAAGCAACTTCACCAAAAGGTTGGAAGAGAAGGGGAGAGAAAAGAAACTTGTCCTTTAGATACAACAGCAGAGCTTATGTCTCCAGTGATGAACACGGTATTCCAGGCTTAAAATTTTCATCTAATTCAAGGAACTTACTGCTTTGTAGAGACACGTTTCAAAGCAAAAGCTTATTCTAACACTGAAGCCAATCTACAATCAAATTTTAAAGCACAAGTACCTGCAGTGAACAAGGACTGGCTCGTTCTTTACTCTCTTTGGCCTCATGCAGGTCACAAACTCCAAGAAGTCCATGGAGTCATCAGGAACACCATGATCAGGCCAAGCGACATACTGGAGATGGGTGACCGCATGTTGTTGTTCTGTCTAAAATACAGCAAGGTTGTCAAAAAGTGTTCAGTGTTATGACTCCTCTATTGACGCTCACTAGAGACAAACCATATTTTCATAATAAGCCTATTTTGCAAACTGTATACATATTGAAAGCTGCATATGACAAATAACATAAATTTAGAGCAAAATATAAACATGCAACTCTTAGAAAACATAGCAAAGAATTTTTTTTTAATTAGCGAGACATCAAGTTTAACTTCTTACATCTAAGCAAATTTTCAGATTTTTAATTTAGTGAGCGTTGACCTCTGCATCAGTGATTCACCTGAGGAAAACAATACACAACTTATGCCTAACTGTATTACACAATTTTAGAACAGGCTGAAAGAAGCAGCTGTTGTGAAACACAGAAGAAACATTCAGAACAAAGACAAAAATAACAGTGCCTTGGAGCTACATATTCTCCTCCTTGAAGGAAGTGTCACATCTCAATAGCACGGTCCTGTCCTTGTATTTTAGGAAAAATGGGAAAATATACACACACATACACACACCAGCACTCAGCAACTTAGGAACACTATCCTGGCATACCAGCTCAATGCTGAAAAGAGCAAGTCACCTGTTCATTGCCTGCAGCACATTAAGCCTTCCCATAAAACAAACCTGACTGAATGCCATTTTTATCTCATGCTGCCACCCGATTCAATCTCTCAAGGAAGTACAGCTGCAGAGGTGTTCTAAATGTGCATGGGTGCGCCTACAGATACATTTCTAATATAAAGTTGCTTGCAACATTTTCTAACTATGGTTTCTGATAGAAAACAATATATAGGTAAGCATGATTTCTGTAGAACCTATGGAAGGACATCTGCCTTTATCAACACAATTTAATTAGTTTAAAGATTCTGTTGCATAGAGAATTTTTTCATGCAATTTTACCTGAAAAAGCAGTTTTACAGAAGTTCTTTCAGTTAGTTCTATGTTAAATTTGATAATGAAATCACTCAAGCATCTTGGCATTCAAATTGGGCTCAGCTGCTACGTCATAGATGTAATCATAGATCAGTGCGTTTGGGGAGGGGGGGGAACATTTTTGAGCTGCGTTGCATCACTGCATGAAGATATGTCACTCTTCCATCTGAGAAGAGTCTTCACATTGTTCCTGAATTGTAACATTCAAGACAGGCACAGACTTGACTCATACTAAAATTATCTAGCAGTCAGTATCAAGTCACCTTCTATGTGCATTAAGAACTTTGAGCCATGTATCATGGGAAAGGGCCAGTGTCACACAGACATCTAAGAACCACCAACAGAGATAAGTAGCAAATGCCATTTTACAAGCTCAAAAAGGAAGAGGAACGAGTCAACTATTAATCTTTACCTATCACAAATCCAGGTCTGAATGTAGTAAGAGTTGCATTCTTACATGGCTCAGACAAACACAGTGAACAAGCCTGTTACATAAGACCTCTTTAGAATAAAAGCCTACTATAAGAGCATGCTGTTAAGAGTCTTCAAAACTGCTTCTTTTTGGTATATCAGAATATTAAAGAAGATCACATGTGCTATTCATTACCAGAGAAAAATGTACTTTTGAATATTCTAAGTATTCCTCAAGCTTCAGGATAGTTTTCTAGTTATTTCTAGTACATAATCAGTTTTAATTCTTTAGTTGAGCTTTTCTGAGATGACTCATTGTTAATACTTGATCACCACATCATTAACTTTTCAAATTGCCTACGTATTTTAAAATATCGCTTTTTCTATTAGTGTCTACAACAGAGATTTAGCTTACTAGATATATTGGTTATATATTAGAACTATTTCTTTCTAATACTTCTATGTTTCATTACTATGACACAATCTAGACATTTCTACTTATCAGTAACAGTGGGTTTTGTTTTTTTTAATTTAAACTCAATGAAATTCAGGTTTTGAATTCAGAAAATCTGTCAATCAAACATTGCCACACATGGAAATAACATGCATTAAAAGATCACAAGGTTTAATAAAATCTAGCACACACAGCTTAAAAAAAGAGCTAGAATTATAGTAACTGGGCTCGTAGTTAGCTCAACTGTATGTGTTCTATTCAGACAATTATTGAATATAGCCATACTTATTTTTAAAAATGCTATTTCTACCACACCCTATTTCTTCATACACATCTGGTAAGGGGAAATAAAGAGGTGGCTTCTCAGCTTCATCCATTCAAAAAGCTTGTCCCAACCATTACTACCTGGAAGTTGGCTCAACTCCTTACCACAAACATACTTATTTCTCATTGAAATTTTCAATGACAGTCATTACTGTAGCATCCTAATGAATGATAAACACAGAATTTATCATTATAAAAAATTTACTTTTCTTTACTATTCCCATTTTATAAGTCTAAAAACACAGAAAGTAAGACACCAAAAATTGTGCACTGCCCAGTGGCTACGTTTGCCTAACTAGACACTTTATGGTTTGATGCTCCAAAAACATTAAATATTTTTGCACTTCCCATGGGTTGATTTCAATTGTATTTGTGTATTTGGTATTTCCACAAATCAGCTTCCAAACGAGGGATCCAAAAAAGAAGTCTGAACAACTTAGAGCCTCTAGTGAGAGGTCTGTGTTATGGCATTTGCATCAATTTATCATTATCCAGCTGGCCAACATTTAGCTGCTTCATGTCATCGACCCACATTTACTTCGCAGGCATCTGCAGAGGTGCAAGACATTATATCTGTCCCAAGCTATTTGTCACTGTCTTTCCAGTCGCACTTACTCTTGCTGCAAAGATGTCAGCAAAAGAAAATATTTATTTGTACCATCACTCCTGTGCAAATTCAAGATGTCTTATTGCAAACGCAACTTCATTACAGATGAAGCTAATATCCTGCATTTTGCTTGAAAACAGCCAAGATGAACTGGCCAAATTTATGTGGATTTCTTTGGAAAGAGAAAAGACAAAGTCTTGTTCAATGTGCAGAAGCAAAAAGCAAAAAGTTTCAGTGAAAAGATTTAAGATAATCTTTAACATGAGCAAAATCAACATTTCTCCCAAACTGTTGCATAAAATGTATCTTGGAAGGAAGACAAATGGCATGGAAAGCCACAGCCCAGACAGTTAAGCTCTGTCAAAATTACAAAGACCCCATTTTCAGCTGTTTATAACAGCGGGCAGTGTAGTCATTTACATTGTTGCCTTTGATTGATCTAATATCAATTTAGTGCAGTCCCTAGAAGTTCCTGCATATTGCTCGTACTTAAACATAAAAACACCAGTCATTCTCAGTCTTGTAACTTCATGTTCCTTCAGCAAACAGCAATACTGTTCACTAGTAAAATGAATTTAGGCTTAATTTTGAATTGGTGCATCTATTTATTTTCTTTTTCTTCAAATCCTCTTCTCCATCATTGCGATGCCCATGAAAAGTGATAACTTTTTAATTTAAAAGAACCTTCCCTTCCAGCCTCCCTCCACTGGCATTGTTATTGACTGCACCATAATGCTAAACAGTCCACTTTATGACACAAGAAATTGTGGTAATTAATCATCCTCACTTGGGTTATTTATAAGGTCTCAGTGCTCTCTCTTCTGGTGTTCACTGCTTATTACAGCAATGGTATAACTTGTCTTTACAGGCTGAAATTAAATCAGTTTTTAAATATCTTGAATTCTTTTTTTTTGGTTGAATGATTTTAGTTAGTAAAACAAATCAGGCGGAAAAAATGACAGGGCACTTGGGAAATAACTAATATAAGATGTGGCAGAACGAAAAAAAGGCTGCAATATTTTCTTCAAACAATTCAAGTTATGTGAATAATATGCTTTAGCAAGTATTGTCTCCACAGCTGAGGTAAGTTACACCACTGAGTCCTAGTCACACACAACTCAAATCAACAAAAACGCTTGTTTAAATACAAGGAAAACAGTAAAAAAAAAAAAAAATCATTCAAAACATACTTGGATGAAATCGAGCATCAATGATATGCTGCAAGGCAATAACTTTGAAGGAAATGGAATGAAAGTTTTCTTTAGATTCCCCATTCTATATTGTCAATGATTAAAAATAGTACATTTTTTATCAAAAAAAAATTCTGTGATGAATCCAGCACTTGCACTACACATTGTCTTTCCTTTCGTCTATTTGTTCTGGTCCCTGAAATGTTTTGAAGCTTTTTTTTGAAGGTTTTGAAAAGGAAAGGCAGGAAATTAATCCATGTTTCATTTCACGAGATTTTTAGATTTGCAGCCATTTGCTGATCTTAAATAACAGGTAAAGCAGCATTGCAATAAATTGGGTCAGAAAAACCCTGAAAAGTTTCTTGTTCCTCAAGCCTTCTGAACATACATGAATAAAAGTCCAAGGACCTCATTTCACAAAATTCTCCTGTGAGCTAGTTTTCTCTAATGACCGATTTGGAATCTGTGCACCTTAATGCACAGGAAAGTCTTCCAAAAATATGTTTTCCCAATAGAAATAAAATCTCTTGTGACACTTTCAGAGCTTTATCAATCTTGCTATTAAAGGCTGCTTGTCTTCATAACAGCCAATACAACAATGCTCACATTAGTTCCCGGAATAATAAAATCCTGGTTTGATTTCAGATGACTATTCCTGTAGTCTTCAAATAATACAGCGTTGGCAGAAGGTAGTACGTAGAAAGCTTTGCAAAGTCTACTCTTAATCACAGGAACCCCCCTAGAAGAATATATTTGGTCAGCTTTAGAAAAGCAGCTCAAACAACATGTGAAACTAGAAGATTGTTCAAAGTTTCAGTGATTCTTTCACTATGTTTTTAACAAATTACACAGGTTTTTATTTCAGCCTGAAACACCAAATGCACACAGTTTTCAATGTTTAGGGTCATATTTTTTTCTGTATGGAGCAGCTGGACGTTGAGTACTCTCCTGGGTATTGCCACTCTACTGAAGTGTATAATCTTGTCTTTGCTGAAAAGACAAACAAGGAAGCAAGTTGCAGCCCCCTCCAAACCGCCCACTTAGGACTAGCTTTATCATACATTAAAAATCATACCGTTTTGTCAATGAGGACAAAATCTGCACAAGTATACGGCCTCCCATTAGAAAACGTGTTCTCAACTGTTCATTAGCATGAGACAATTTACACAGTACAAGATCCTCATTTGTGATTTTCACATCTACAAATACGTTAAGAAAGGTACACTAAGCTCTTGCACAGTCTTCTCAAAAAGAACTAACTTGTGGGAAAAAGACCAGCTGCCTTCGTCTCACTACGATTTTTCCCTATCACATGCCAATAAATAGACACCAGAAGTAAAAACACATACTCTAAGTACAGCCACTAGTAAACCTACTCAAAACTATTTGATAAATACTAACCCAGAAATACCATTCCAAAATAAAAACACACATTTGTTAGAACAAGTATCTGAGGAGGGTCTAAACGAAAATTTACAAAAAGTAAATTATAATTAATTTTGAGTGGCAAGGAATAAAAGTTTTTATACATATACTTTGCAGTACTGCTTTAATGAAGTATGCTACTTTTGTGCTGATGTTCAAATGCAGCATTTACAAGCTAACCATGAAAAGCAGAACCGAAATCATTACTACTCCTTGACCTGATGGTTGCCCACAACTAGCAGTGGAGACAGTGTAAACCATCATAATTGAAAGATCTTTGAATAGAACAAGCACCAGCAACTCTCATGATTACGACTACAAAGGAAACGTGGATCATATTAAGACAAACAATTGGATGCACAGTCAAGTGACAGATTCAGTTATGCATTCATGAGACTAAAGGATTGGTCACCTTGGTACAAGAACATCAACTAAAAACGTTACATTTCAAAACTAATATTTTCTTTTTAATTACTAATAGTAACTTCAGTATCACTGAAATCTACTTATTTACACAGTAATGAATTGCACAATTTAGAAAGAGGAATAACTGCTGACTAGTACTGGAACTCTCAATTAGCGCTTAGTCAGTACACAGTGATTTCTTACACAGATATCTTACAATAGCATAAAGCCTTCATCTTTCCAGAGCACATTTTGCAACCATAGAATTTTGGGGGAAAAAAAAAAAAAGAGAAATTATATAAGAGAAGTAGGACAACTTGGGAACAGAAGTCAAATCTCTCCCCCTAAACTCCAGTTTTGATAGCCTGGATGTGATCCAAGCAAATTTCACAACACAAGCTTGTATGTAAGCAGTATTCTGCATACTTCATTTTGCCTTTGCTTTATAACCCTTTCACTAGCATAAAACATTAACAGCTAAGGAATGCAAATGTATTAGGTAAATTGAGCGTATTCAAACTGAGATATATAAAGGTTTCTTCTTTTTTAAAATCTGATTAAAGATGATAAAGAAGAGCTGGTGAGATTCTGCATTTTCTCTCAAAACTATATTATTACAGTTCACTTCCCTGCTAGCTATCCTATCCACATATGCCACCAACCAAGTGACCCATATTGCACCCTTGCAATACCTAAAAACCTAAATATTTGTGAAGAGTCAGTTACTGCAAAATGGTTTACAGTAAAGCAATAAATGTCTTTATGAATGTTATTACAGTGCCTGCATAGCATAATGAACTGTACAATAGCAGATAATGATATATGAGGGGCTTATTCCTAGTATTTTAAAGAAGCAACAAACTTAAGAGTTCACTCTAAAAGTATGCTTTAAGAACCTCTAAAGAAACAATTACACTATGTTAATTGACTTTTTTTAAATAAGAAGTATATATATATGTGCACATACACACACAAAGTCTGTATCTACCCATCTGTACACATGCACGTACACATATTCATTCAGCTTGTTTAGAGATACAGACTACAGGCATTTACCTTAACATTTGTAATCACCATTTCTCTAACAACATATGCAATCGTACAATCCTCAGACTGGCATCTGACACGAAAGTTGCCATATTCCATTACATCTGGTGGATCAGGCCAATACTGATGACATTTGGTCTGTAAGGACAAAGGAAAATTAAGCACACATCAGGAACTGAAACAGATGCTTCTATATCCTAACTTTCCCCTCCTGCATTATTCTTCAGGTAATTCAAAGAGCAGTATAAAAACCATGCTGGTTTGTTCATGAGGTCTTTACATCCAAGTTGGAAATTTACAGGACATCACAGGGCAAATTCTCTATAAACTTGCGGTTTAGTCATTTATAATAAAAATGCAAGTAAACCGGGTGCAAGATAAGAGTTTTCTTTCTGGTACTCTTTCACAGCCATCTCCGAAAAAAACTATTCGAAGCATAACGTAGGAGGAGAAATAAGAGGATTTCTTCTGTCTTAAGAAAAGTGTAGGGGGGAATTTATTAATGTCTTCAGACACCTAATAGTGGGTCATAGCGAAGACAGAGCCAGACTTTTCTTGGAGCTGCAGGCCGGAAGGACAAGTGGCAATTGACAAAAGGTGCAAAGCAGACATTATGATTAGATATCGGGAAAAACAGTTTCAGTAAGGATTGGTCACACATTGAAACAAGCAGTTTTAAGAGGCTGTGGAATCTCCATCCATGGAGATAACCAAAACTTTACTGACATCAGCCTGTGCAGCCTGAATGAACTTCAGAGCTGGCCCTGCCTTGAGCAGGGGACTTGACCGGATGTCTCTAGAAGTCCCCTCTAACCTTAAATTATTCTTGGATTTTATGAAATTATGGTGACTTGTTTTTACATGCATAGCACCATCACTTTCGACATTATTTATAAAGTTAAAGTGCAATATTTGCTGTTTAGTCTCTGAAAAACATCAAAACTATGTTTTTGTTAGTTCAAAGGTATTTTGCAAAATTCTACAGAACAATTAAGTTAGTGTAATTTGTTTCAGAAAAATACAAGGTAGGCTTCAGATTTAAGTGCTACTTTGAAATCTCATATGAACAATGATATCGCCCTGAAATAAAAAAGACATACTTTATTACATATATGCATATTTAAACATATTAAAAGTGAGATATTCTTTGAAGACAAAAATATAACATCCAGGCTCAGTGACATTAACGCCATTAACTTTAGTGGGTGGTTTGTGTGCATGCAAGTAAATACAAGGAAGCCTTAATTAACTAACGTGTTCCTTCAACCATTACATGCGATTCCAAAAGCGTTAAGAAGCACTGTTAAATGGGATAGGTCTATCAGCAAGCGTGGACAGAGGAGGGAACATGCCTTCTGTGAAAACCTTCAAAACACTGGTGATCTGGGATTGTTGTTTCTGTGTGCTGGTAAGGAATGGCTTTAACATCTGTTTTAATCAGCTGAAAAGCCCTGATCATGGTCGCACAGGGAAAAAAAAACCAAAACACTTTAATACATGTTTTAAAGGGGTCTTTTTAAAGAGGTTGCCAACTTTTCATTTGGATGAGATGCGTCAGGATGGTTATTTTGAACGAGAACATCCCTTTCCTCTGAAAGGGAAAGGAGAGAGAAAAATGGAAGAGGTTCTCACTCAACTACAAGAACATCCTTTTGTTGGCCTTGACAAACATGGTCTTGGCTCACCAGCATCGTTACCAAAGCACCGCTGCCAAGGTAGCTTGGCTAGTTACCGCTTCAGTCATATACCCCTCTTTATGCATACCCCTACTTGTCTCCCCTTCTGTAATATACTGCACAATCAGAATTTCCCTCTATTCTCTTTCATTCAGAATCAAAATCGAGACAAAAAAGATGCTTTCTACTAAGACTGCTACCAATCATGCTAACGAATGAACTCACCCTGTGCTCTTTCCAGAGTTAGTGGCAGAGAATCGGCTTCTCCTCCTTCCCTGACTCAAATTTCCACAGAGGATTGTGCAGCTAAGATCCAGCCTCTATAGGTTGTCTGTATGTGCAGGCAGAGCAATCTAGCTCTTCGCCTACTTTCTTGAAGATTTGCACTTCAAAACCAACAATCTTTCTGGCATTTAATTCTCTTTACTGCTCTACTCAAATGGTTTAATTTGAAAAGCAGGGCAGAGTTGAGTGAATACATTTTTAACTCACATTCAGTCACAAACACTGAACTGAGTATCAAGGCTACTACACATTGCACAACACTGTAGTAGAAAACTCAACCTGAGAATGCTATACAGTTTTACAAAGTAGTCATAAGATGTCAGTTACAAAGAGGTAAATGCTGCCAGACATAATGTTAACAGAAAGAGCAAGAAAAAACTGGGAATACGCAGTCCAGGTTTTTACGCACTGCACAGAGAAAATATGCACTGCCAGAATTAGAAGTGGCAGGTTAAGATATCTGGACATATCTGTACGAACTCAACCATATCCAAGCACGCCTGTTAACTTAGTTTTAGCAGAGGAAGTCGTCTGGAGAGATTGGTACAGGTCAAAATCTAGAAAGAAGGCATAGAGAGAAAGGAGGGAAGTCTTGGGTCTTACAGTTAGAGAGAGCTGAGCTGAACTCAATAAAACAGAGCACTGCCAATTTCCTTACCTACAGAAGGGGTCATAAACAGCTAGTCTATTCTTATATATTGTTTTAATATAGAACGAACTCTAAAAGTTGAAAAGAATACATGTGCTCTATGAAAACATTATTAAAAGCAGACAACTATCTCCAAAAAAATAACTCATCATATAGGCACAATGACCAATTCTAAGTCTTTGCTCTCTTCCAGGTTTGATATATAAAACATGGCTGAATTTTAAATACTCAAATTTTAAATACTTTACAAAAAGAAATTAATAGAGTAAACTCCAAATCCCTTAGTGAAGAAACCTTTAACAGACATTGTTTTTCATGAGACAACAGTCAGATCTTGGTATACATGCAGAAGCAATAAAATATGTCAGTAAGAGAGACTTGAAAAATTTGGGGAAGGTCCAGTAGAGGTCCACCAAGCTGATTAAAGCATTGGAAGACTTGACATATGAAGAAAGGTTGAAGGAATTGGGTTGGTCTGTTTGTGCTGGTTTTGTCAGTAATTAGCTGAGCCACTAGTGTCATAAGTACTCTATTTCTAAATTTAAGGGTAGGTGGGAGACTTCAGTAGAGCCCAAGTACTGTGCATTAGCAAGAAAAAGCAAGCAAAGGTGAGAACCAGTCTGTCCTCCCTATTCCAACCCTGCAGGCCCACAGCTGAAGGAAAGAGCACAACTCCTTTTCTGTCTACTGATGCTCAGAGGCTGATCTTCAGATCTCTAGCACTCTACTGTTTCAACTGCAATATCTTTATCTTTTGTGCTTGAACTTCTGAAGATAGGTACACATCTAGTCAGTGTAAAATGCAATTTTTTGTAGAAATATGAATGCCAATATCTATTAATGATTTTCAAAGGTAAGCTTAGAGTAGTGCTGATGACAGAAAACTTGCTTCCTAGCTGATGAAAGGATGAACCATTGCAGAATACACGGGACTTGAGGAAGAACTACTCCACTGAGATACTAGTTCAATGAAATCCTTGTCCACCGAAGTCATCGCAAGTTGACCCATCAGAGGGGCCAACATTTCATTCTAATATTTTCATCTTCCAGTTCTGCGACTTCACTCTTGTAAAATTAATTGACATGTTAAATATAAATGAATTAGTTTCCAAGTATGAGTCCATAGTACTTATGAAAAAAAGTGAAATAAAGAAAAAATCTAGCTGAGATATAGGAAAACGCAAGGGAATCACGTGAAATGATCTTGAAACAACTCCCCGGACACTGTACTTAAAACTAATTTAATTTTCTTTGGGGGGGGTGGGGGGGGAGGGAAGTGCACACACACACACACACACGCAGTGCTAAAACAGCTGAGATAACTGTCCTCTCTAATGCCTACACACTGTAATAACTTAGTAGCTAAAAAAAAATCCAAAAAAAACCCCAAACAAGCAAACAAAAAACCCCATAGCCCAAAATTGGTATTCCCAATGTGTTCATATTTCACCTTTTGTTAATTGGGATTCCTTATTCATTTAACAACATTGCTTGTACAAACAACTTTTGGCTTTTTTCAACTAACACACAGTGGTTGAAGCTGCAAATCTTGAAATGTTAAAATCTCTTCATTCTTCCTATTTTAGGGCTCAGTTTTCACAAAAAAATTTAGTCAAATTTTGACCATTATGCCTGAAAATTTTACTATAGCTGTCTACCTGAAACAGTTTCTTCTTTAAATTTAAGCCAAAACAGTGCAGCCATTTCTAAAGAGTAACATTATCAGGAAAAAAAGCTCTTTCTGCTGTCATACAAATCTTGTAGCATCACTCAAAAGAGATATTCGAGACTCTAAAGCCTCCAGAGTTTTGGAAAAATCTTGACATTTGGCAGTGGGGTTACTCTATCAAGAACATAAATCATTTGCTATCCCCTGAAAATTCACTACAAACTGGCCAGAAAATAGAAAAGGTCTTTGAAAGTAATAAAAATTGGGGAGGGTAGGGGAGTAGTGTGATGTATACATGCAAAAAGTAAGACAGAGGTTAGCAGCAAATTATCTTGAAGGTTGCCACTCGCTGGGCACGTTATGGACAAGTATTGACCTATGCTTTTCCTCAAAACAAGAAAAAGAAAGCAGGAAGATATTTTGACTGCAATACAGAGGAAAGATGAGGGTATGCCAGAGGATGTTCAGTAAAATATCTGCTCCTGTGAATAACTGTGTAACGTAACCACAGGTAAAATATGTTACTTTGCAGTCCCATGTGTCTTATGTGTATTTTACTGCGGAATTGCCTTCCACCCCCTAAGTGATGCTACTTACTTCTCAATCATTATGCTATCTAGGACTTCAAATATTCACTCTCAAATAACCTACTTCCAAAACTATCATTTTTTGACTGGGATGCAGGATAAATTTGATAGTGTAGGATAGATCCCATAGGAGGTACAGATAAAAACTATAGTGATAACATACAGAAGTCATTTTCTTCTCCCCATCTTAAAAACTGTTCAGTTTTTAGCTTCCAAAACTTTAAAAGCAATCACTTTACATATGTCAACCACCTAACAACTTCACTTTTAAAACTAGAAGAGATGTATTAAAATCAAAATGTAACAGCATATACCAGATACTGCTTTAATTTTCACTGTATTATACTGAAATCAATGGAATGTGAGAATTCATGTGAAGAGAATTAACAGTTATCAAAGCAACTTAAGGAAAGAGAGCCTACAACAAATAAAATTAAGTAGGCTAAATTCTGACTATCGGCACGCTAAAACTAATAGCTATTAAAACAGCAAATTCCAGTCTCAAGCCACACTGCAAGTAAGTTTTGCTCAGCCTGCTCAATACTCCCAGATATATGTCTGCTGAATTCCTTGGGGGAGCACCCACAACGTGGAGCCCAGTTCTCCCAGTGGCAGGATAGCACGCAGTACCTGGTTGACCAGCAAAACTGGAGCCAATGTAGTGATCTCCATTTATCAGACAGCTGGTTTGTAGGTTGGTTTGTTTTTAAAGTAGCATAGTAAAACAAAGCAAACAGAGAGTATTTGTTCCTCTAAGTAACTCAGAAAGTCCGGCCTTCAGAGAAATGATTCAGCGCAACAGGATGGCCTTTTGGGGGGTTATTAATCATAACAGTGGAAAAGTAGTTTAAAGGCAGAGTATAGTTCTTCAGTGTACAAATTACCTGAACACACTTACCCGTCCTCGTTCAGTGAGAGTTGTCAACATGATGATCAGTGATAACTTGTGATCCCAGACTACTTGCCAGAAATGAGCACACGTGTGTGGAAGAGGCCCTTGAGTAGCAATGTC